AATAATAAGTGGGGGAATGAATATTATTCTTGAATAAATTCGTGCTTTGTACAGCAAATTGCCGAGGATAAGTTTTTGAGTGAGAAATTTTGAGTGAGAAAAAATTTTTTAAGGCATTGTCTATGGACAGAAATCCAAAGGAGCTCCTACATTACATATTTACATAGCACAGCTATTGAAGGAATTTAATCAATGGCATTTAAACCGTTACAGATTCAATTATAATCGACGTAGTAATGTAAATTTCTTAGCATCCACTAATGTCATGATAAATTTTACTGTGTGCGTACTGAAATCTTAGAAAAAATTTATATACACAATTTATATACAGACGAAGCGGTGTTATTAGATCAGATAATAAGACAATGGTAATATTGTGAGAAATTGTGATAATTTTCCAATTTGCAAATATTGTTTTTCCGAGACACAAATAGTGACAAATTTAATAATTATAATTTTATATTCTGCTATAAAACCGAACAACATGAAAATTATGAGAGGTAAGGGTAAAATTTATGAAAAAAACACGCTTATCACCATGTTCCGACGGGAATTGGTAGTTTATAGCTTGTTTTGGAATGGAAAGCAAATTCAAAAATTCATTTATTATTTAGGCATATAAGATTCTATAGAGGATTAATTTTAGACTTGTGCTTCATTGTCCCAACCAAATATATTACAACGCTCTTATGCCACTATTATTTTCAATAAAGCAAATTATCACCCCACCCTCAATGTTGATGTATAGCATGTGTGCGTGTGTTCCTATTACATAATATTCGCTAAGTATGTATTAAATATTTAATTTTGATTCCTTGATAGATTAGAAAATTTTCTTACTTGTACAAGGTTATTCTTTTTAGTATAAAAAATTTTTTGCCTTTATATTTTGTGTTTATGTAGGTATAAGTATTTGTAAAAAATTTCTATATCCGCATATGATTCTAAAATTGACAATAGACTCTATTATTCTCTATAGCAAAAAAAAAAAAATTTGTTTTCATCTCAAACTTTGTCTTTATTGCTAGTGTCTTTGTTAATATTTTTGTTTATTTTTTCGATATAATGTAATACGAAAAATTTTTCCCTACAAACAATTGAATAAAAATAAGGATGAAAAATAGGAATAATAGAAAGAGAGGAAAAATTTTAAGCGTTCCTCAATATCCTTGAAAATCTATATAAAAAAGAAAATTTTTGTATAGGAATCTTGTATTTTCTTTTCAATTTTATATAGAAATTCCTTTGGGTAAGTAATTGTCAATAATTGTCAATGATTTCTGCAAATATTTTAATGGAAATTTGTATGGGAAAAGAAAAAGTGGAAGAAGTTGATAGAAGAAGTTGATGAATTTCAATGTAACAAAAATGAATTTTTGTTTTTGTTTGTATTTCTTCTTTTTTTTTTGCTGAAATTTAAGACTTTAGTAAAAAAGTTTTCCCGGTTTTCCTGTTTTTCCTATATATACTGTAGTGAAAGATTAAATATGGTGAGTGAAGAAACTAGTCATCAAACTGAAGAAATCTATAACAATAATTGTGAGTCACTGGCTGTGAAGAAGAGGTACAAATTTTAGTATTAATCTTGAATTAATTTTGAAATTTCAATTATACGAGTACATTTAATCATAAATAACGCACTTAAATTTAATTCATTGAAATGTGAAGCGAAAATAGTTTATAAATATTCTTGAACTGGTGATGTGATCAGCACGAAACCGACCGTATATTACATTTTCTGGTTTGGAGAAAGCACTGCACAGATTTATAAAAATTCCTTTAAAAATTTCTTTCAAATGTTAAGAGAGCAAGTAAAATGATATTGAATAACCTAGAAAAATATAAATTTGTAGCATATGTAAAGCGATTTCCCTGGAAGTGGCAAAAAATTCCTAGAACAGCTCCTAGTAAAACAGACCCTTTTAAATACAAATATTCAAAAAAACATTTACTGCTCCATTGTTTTGAGAATCATCATTCAAATATTAGACCTATAAATGAGCAAAAATGCAAATTCTGCCTAACAGCCAATATAGCTTTATTACCACAAATACGAAGTAATATGGAAATGGTCCACAATTTAAGAATTAGAAATGATATTAATTTCATTACAAATTACATCCGCATTTAGGTATGTATGTATGTAAAAATACCAAAGTGACTATTTTAAATTGAAATATGACTGATAAGCTGTTGGAAACACATGTGTTCATTATAATGTTCACATACCAATATAAATTTCTAATTCTTCATTTTTATATAAAAAAATTCTTATTTTGGTTGACATTTTTAGGAAATTGAAAATTACAAAAAAAAAAAAATTAAAAAATATTTATTTTCCTTGTATTTGACAGATTTCTTTAGATATTTTTGCTTTTTTTTTGGAGTTAAAAGCCTAAAAGTATGCATGTGATCCAATTACATTGATATGAAATTTTTTATAATCAAAATGATAGCAGCTAGCTACATATATGTATGTAGGAAGTAATTTATCAAATTTTCAAAGAAGAATTTGTCAAAATGGAATAAATAAATTAAAATTTGTAATATAATTTTAATAATGTACAAATATTTTGAATTTATTCAAAGAAAAGTGACAGAGAATTCAATGCTATATATACATACATGTGTGCGCTATATATATAATTAAATTAAATTTAAGTTATAAACTATGTTGAGTTTAAGTTATAAACTATATTGTGACTGTGTGAGTATTATCACTTAATTTACACCCTAAGATTTTGAATTTTAATTAAAATTTGGCCGAAATCCTTTTGATTTGGATAATTTTAAGGCCCACTATTGAATACAAGTGAGTAGTCGTGGTAATAGTTCTAAATAAGCTGAATAAAGTCAGAAAATTATTCTAACCCAACTAATAAAATTCGGTTAATAAAATCTTAATATTGCATACTTTTAGGGGATAATAATAATATTATTATGTTTCTGAATATTTTCATGAAAAACAACCGATTTTACTGCGACAAAAATAGTAAAGTAAATTTTATTACGCTCTGAATGTCTTCTAATTTAACCAGAAAATATATTGGAAAATTTTTTTCATATATTGTTTGGCACCATTCTAATTCACAGGTTATTTAAACACAAATTATTTGGTTCATTTACTCAATTTACTACCATAGCCAATATTTAATGTATAGGTCGTAGTTTTAACAAAAAACAAGCAATTTTCAATCGCCTATTCAATAATTTAAACCTTAAAATATAAGATATTTGAAATTATCATAGCCATTATTGTTGTTAACATACGTATTTTCTATCTTAAATCGCATAATTTCCTCATAAAATTAAAATTTTTATACATACACACATTCACATTATAATTTTAACCTTTACATTACATTTTTAACTTGAATATTTTTTATCATTACATTTTCATATCCTAGTTAAAAGACAAAAACTTACTATGCGAATAATGAAAAGGATACAGATGACAAAAAAAAAAAAACAAAATTGTCGACATTTTGTCTTTTATCTTTCTCATTTGTACCTTCCTTTTGGTCCCAAACATTGTTTGCTAACCATTGAAAATCTTATCACGAATATGAAAATTTTTTCTTATATGTATTTTTCACTTTATACAAACTCAATTTATTGCTTACAATCCCCCACTCCCCTTGAGTACATACTCGTACTTGTACAGAAATTGGAGCCTAAAAACAAAAGTTAAATTAGACGTTATCAGGCGCGAAAATTACCTTAATAAAGATTGTAAAATTTTAATATTACGCGCGTATTATATGCATTTACATATTATTTTATGATAATTTGCATAACATTACACACAATAAAAATGAAAAACACGTGTTTAAAATACTAAAAATAACATAGAATTTTTTTTTCCTCTATGGTAGTTTCAATGTACGTGCATATTATGTAGGTGTAAAAGTTGTATGTAAATTTGATAGAAAAGTTTTTTTTTATTATATAACCCTGTGATATAATGGGGACTTTATTGATTTAAAATGAAGTTATTCGAAAGGATACAGGAAATGATATTATCAACTTTATTCAAAAGTTCTGCGATATTTTATCCTATATAGTAATTGCAAAATTTTAATACAATTTAAATATAATTTAGAAAATATTATGGTAATAATGTACTTAATGCATTAGTTGCGATTTTAAAGGAAATACTATTAAAAATGAATAAAAATCAATAACAGTTTTGAAATTTTTTAAAATTAAATTTAAAATTTTCCTCTCTATGTCTAATTTCGAAAAACTTTTTTATGTAATAATAATTACGAATAAATTTCTTAAACAAGCTTGTGACATCCGTTTTCCAAGGATTACATATGATAACCGACAGAAGAATGTAGATTCTATACGAAAATTTTTCTTAGAACTTTGATTCAGCTCTTAAAAATATGCAATAATTACTTCTCCTAAAAGTATGCAATAAGATTTTTTTTTTTTTTTTTTTTTCAATCATAAATTTTGTACAAAAACACTAAGTGAGGAGAAAATACGCACTTTAAAATTGATGTTCTATACACGCCGTAGGTATTACTTAAATTTATTTCAGATTGACATACCTACAATATTTAAGATTATACTCGTACTGTCTTGGCTCTTGTATCCCAAATATAATTGAATCACACTGAGTTCTAATGAATAAAAGAACGAGATCTCAACCGGCTATGAAATTAACATTCGTCAAGCTCATAATAAACAAAAATAAAATAAAATCAAGGAATTTATGCCTTGTCTCCTGGACATGAGCATCATTTCAGGAGGAAAAGAATAGTCCCGCCTCACCATCATGTAATCTATCATTTTCTCCCCGACTTTCCCTCCTTCTCGTCACAGTAACTCCAGCAGAAATCATTTCCAGAGCGGCCTATATTCCAAGCGTGTCACTAAACCTGCACTACTTCGATTTTCTAATAACAAAATATTATTAACACTATTGTTAACAAAAATATCAAATTTTAATTTTTAAAATAATTAATTTTTTAATTTTTTTTCTTTTACAGGTAAGTTTTCATCAAATTCTTTAAATATTTTATTGGAAATATAGGAGAAATTAAAGTAAGTTTATTTTATGCATTAATTTGAGATAAGTTCAACATTCTTGACCTTAACTTCAATTAAATGAAGTAAAACCAAAAACAAAAAACCAGAAGAGCTTATGTTCAAACCAGAAAGAAATCATGTACAATATAAGAGGAAAGGGAATAAAATGAAATTTTTATTAAAATTAGAGTTCAAATTCTCTCTGTTCATTTCACTCTTCTTTATTTATCCTTTTTAAAGGATAACCTTTTATTTTAATATCATATACTCAATTTCTTATACAAATCAATAAATTTAGTGGAAAAAAAGAATGAGATCCTGGATAAAAAAGGATACCACAAAATGAAGTTCTCAATAAATTGCTTGACTTATTTTTACAACTCATATAATTCTACCATTAAGATAATTTTTTTTTGGTGTGTGTTTTTTGTTTTTGATATTTCACACATATCAACTTTGAAGAGTTATTTGGAAAGTTAGAATATTGCTTGTATATGAAGTAAAGAGAAGAAATAGAAAATTAAAGTACTTTAATTCAAGCCCTTTGTTTTCTTATATATTATTTTCACCACTTCTAATTTTATGGTTATTTTAACCAAAAAATATATCCTGTATATAACGTAGCAAAGGATATCGTGGGTAGTGCCATATTTTTACTAAAATAAGGTAAAACTATTTAAAGCAATTTATCATCAATTTTCTATACTAAAGTCTGGAATAGAGGAAAATTTTATATTCGGACTTTGCAAAGTTCTAAAATTTCGAAAAAAAAAATTACCATTTTATCAATGGTATCCCGGCTAAAAACTCAATTCTGTTCGTTTAGATTGCGGTAAAATTATAATTTAATAAAAATTTACATTTCACCTTGAAATATTCATCACATTTTCTTTGACGAAAATGTGGTGAATATTTCAAGATGAAATGTAAAATTACAATTCACCACATTCACAAAAACTACAATTCAACACATTTTCTTTGACGTGTTGAAATAATTTTACAAGCATTCGAGTTTTCATATTCATCTTTATTTTAAAAATGTCCTCATTGCAGGTTCCCTGGTCCATCATGTCGAATTGTGTGTATTTCCTCTTGGCAGTTCTCATTCAATTTTAATTCTAATCATATTAAAATATTATATTCGGACACAAAATTTTTAATTTATTGTATAACCACCATTCTCCACATACAGTCACCAGTTTCCAAAAAATTTATTTAATATGCATTTGCTTATTAATAGCGCTGCTATTTAACCTATAGCTAACATTATTTAGTTTCATTGGCTACTGTTATACAATTTATACAGTAACTCATTCATATAAGAGTATTGCATTGCTGACATAATTAAACAATATTCATAAATCTCGCTTCTTGTATTCGAACCCCTTCATAATGCTCAATTTGCCGAATAACTTGAAAATAATTAATTTAATATTAAAAATTTTCTGAATTATTTCAGACTGTAATTTTATGAATTTATTAATTTAAATTGAAAATTAATCAAAATTAACTTTTAATACTATATTAATTCAAGTTACCTACCATTTTTTTTAAATTAATCAAAATAATATTTATAATGAATTTCCATTAAAATAATTAATTATAATAATCTCTCTAATATTTATTTTTAATCGCTTATTTTTAATCTTAAAAAATTAAATTAATTTTATTTTATAATATCACCCGGCATTAATCAAAAATTAATGCATAATTAATTCAAAAATCAATTCATATTCTTACACCTACACTACTCTAATACTCTAAAAATTCACTCAAATTTGAATACATTTACATATATACCCTCAACAAATAATAATTATTAATTTAAAAAAAAAGCACACATAAAAAAATGGCGTGGATTTTAAATTAATTTAAACTTAAAGTAAAATGATTTTAATAATCATTTAAGCTAAAATATATAGGAATATTTTTATTATAATTTATCCTTTAACTTATAATATATGATAAGGATATAATAAGGATATATAGGAAGTATATTAAATGGAGGAAAGCAAAAAAATAAAAAAACCCTTAATTCATTTTCGAATATTCAACTTATTTTTTTTTTTGTTGTTGTTGTTACCTTTACAACAATTATTAAAGTCAATCAAAATTTTTTATCACACAAAACACAAATAATATTTTTATAAAATAGCTTTTGTATAAAAGGAAAACCAGGGAATATTAAAAGTATACAAGGTGTTTGAATTCTAAATTCACTGCTCTAAATTCATACCATTTGAAATATCAGGAGAATGTAAATCTTTTGCATGGAGGCAATTTGCTACGGCGGCATTTAAAATTCTGCACAAGACTGTAGAATTTCACAAAAAATTTTTCAGAGGTGTAACATTAAGAATCTTTGATGAGTGTATCAGGTTGATAATTTTATATGGCTTTTCAAAAACAAATTAATTCGCGTTATATGCCAAAAATTATGGTACAACAGAATTTGTATCCGATATAAAAACACATAAAGCTAGAACAATCTGAATGCGACCAGGAATTGGGATCAACCCTCTTAGACAGGCGTCGACAAGTCTCCAAATGCATAGGGTAGAACATTAGTAAAAGAAATAATCTCTGAATTGTTATATTAATCATCTTCCAACCTGTTATAATTCGAAAGTTATTGAGAAAATAATGTGCCGATCTTTCATTTTCTGTAATGAATTACAAAAAAATTTGCCATTCAAAATAGGATCTACCTTCTTTCATTTTGCATTTAGAAACCATAAAACCCTGTACAGTGTAAAAAATATAATATTTTTTTGCTATATACTTAATATATATGTACATAACTGTATACGTATACCATCCATATATGTAAAAATTATTAATTTTTATGATAAACTCATTTTTACTTCAGTCATGCAAACATGTTATTAACTTAATTTTCTACATATATATATATATATATACTGGATATAATGGTGTCGTAATGTTAATAGTAATGACATAAAAATTTCATCATTGAAAAAAAGAATTGTTTATAGTGTTATACAAAGTCTATATATATATACGAGTGAGTGAATGTGTGTGTATATAATGCGGAAATTTTGTGGTCTTATCGTGCCAATTATCGAAAAATATAATTCAAAAATGAACTTAAATAAGTTTTTAAATAAATTATAAAAATTTTTCTGATAGACACACTTGTTCTATATGTTATACATATAAGTAACATGAGTTGTTGCCGAAACACATTTAAACAATAATTTTATTAATGAAAATTAAAAATAGTTGTCAGAGAATTCATGAGGAAATATTTAAATATAAAAGATTTATAGAAATGAAATTGATTTTATGTGTATAAATTGTAAAATATTTTAAAAATTTAAAAAAAAAGAAAGGGTTATTTGGTTAAATTGGCAAACGGATCACAGACCGAGCATTGCTCAAATTCGTACAACTATTCCTGCTGTATTTATTGTGCGTTGAACTGTAGGTAATCCATTAGAGCTACCCTTTTCTTTTGAAGAACTTTTCTACATTTCAGCTACTTATGAAATTATACCAAATCCAGGTATGCTCACTCCACCCAATCAGGTCGGTCATTAACAGAAAAAGAAGGTAATTTTTGCTCTCTTTCAAGGAAAAAAAATTCAATTTATTGTCGCCATATTTTTTTTTTTATTTTTGCTAAAATTTTTTGTTAAAGCTCCATTGTACATATGACTTGTACAAAAAATAATTTACATACCAACACTCTTATACTTTTATACACAACAGTTTCAAGTTCCAATTACCTAAAAGTAAACAATAACATAAAACTATTTACGTATAAAAATATGAAAGAATAGTGTTAAAAAATACAAGAAAAAAAGGAAACACAACGCAAAAATAAAAAGAGAAAAAAAAATTAGAACACATACATTATTATTCTACTCTTTACCTCATTCTCTCTTCCTCCCCCATTACTTAAATTAACTGTTATACAGTCTTTTTTTTCAACCGTCAGATTTGATATTTTTTGTGACGTTTTAACATACTTTGCAGGTAGTTTGTCTAAAAATAAATAAATTTGTTCCATAAATAAAAATACAAAAGAAAAAAAAAACGATATTTTTAACAGTTTTTCTATGTATAACATTTACACATATCCATTCACATACAAACACACTAAAGCACATAAAAAATTTAAAAATTGAGTAATAAATATAATAATTGACAGCTTAGAAAACGTTATTCTTGTCATAATTACGGTTTTCCTATTTTCTTATTTTTAACAATATTTTTTGTTCCAGGTCTTTTTCATGTTGCCAACAAATTCATTATTTATGGAGATACATGATTATTTGTATGAGTTGTTAGAGGAAATACATAGATACAGTAAAGCCTGGCTTATATACACACTCTTTTTGGAAAAATCTTTGTATATTTATCCGTATACTGTGCAATTGTCCAGTCCCTATTTGCAATGAATGACAAATTTTTATTTTAACATTCTATAAATAAAATTTAAGAAGAAATGGACACCAACAAGAAGAAATCAACACTAGATAAACTTTTTTACTAAAAATTACAAAATTTTATTTTTTTGATCATATATGGGATCCATTAATGGAAGTAATATAGATCCAATTTTATATTTTATTTGATAATTTTGTAAATTAGAATTTCTAAGAAGAATAGCAATTCCGAATAAATCATTAATTAAAAACAAATTTGTTCTAGTCCTTACAACAGTACAATATTGTTATTGTATTAGAAATAAGGATAACAATAAAGCTTTTGTATAACAAATTAATTATCGAGTTCGTATACCTACTACTTTATATGTATAGATTCTTTATGAAGTATAAATAAAATATTTAAGGATGTCAAAAGGATAATATAATAAATCAAGTTGGAAATTCTTATAATTTATTAATAATAAGAGGATTGTGTTTATTTACAAGAAAAATAAAATATTTGTTTTACTTTTGTTTTTAAATTCAATATAAAATTGAATTCTGACTAAAAATGTTAATTTGCTCTATAATTTGTGCATCGCATTCACATAAATAATATTGATTAAAAATTTCAATAAAATATGATAAATTGAATAGTTCCAACAAAGGCGAGACCTTAGAGCTAGACTATAGAAAGTC